CTTAACTATAAACGGGTCTTTTTCCATTCCCCGAGGGTTTTTTTTTTTTTTTTTTTTTTTTTTGAAGTAGGGTCTCCCTGTAGGCCCAGCTGTCCTGGAACTCACTATGTAGACCAGGCTGGCCTTGAACTCACAAAGATCCGCCTGCCTCTGCCTCCCGAGTGCTGGGACTACAGGCGTGCGCCACCACGTTTGGCTTGGCTACTTTTCTTTGGGTTTTTTTTTTTTTAACCCTAACTCGCAGTAACTCTTTGACAAGGCAGACTTAAGTTTAACTTGCCCTGAAGTCACATAATCAGTTGTGGGCAGGCGCAGGGCTCAGCAGGGCTCACACTCTTACAGACATTCAGTGTTTATACACCCTTCTGCACTCCGTCTGCACTGTCTAGTCCCACAGCTAGTGGCTATAGAGAGCTATTTAATTCTAAATCTTAAGTGAAAGTTAAAAATTAAATTCCACAGGGCTGGAAAGATGTCTCAGTGGTTAAGAGCACTAGCTGCTCTCGCAGAGGACTAGGATTTGATTCCCCACACCCACATGGTGGCTAACAACCGTTCTAACACCAGTTCGAGAGAAATCTGACACCCTCTCTGACCTCCGCAGACATTACATGGCACGGGTGCACTTATATATATGCAAGCAATACATTCACACACATACAGTCTTTAAAAAATAGAATTCCACAATAACGCTAGCGATCATTCAAGTACCCCTAGCCATTTGAGGCTTGTTGCTACTGTACTGAATGGTGGAAATACAGGGCATTTTGTCATTGCAGTGTTCTGTCAGATGATTAGCCTCTATCCTCTGAGAGGCTTGAATCGTCTTTCATTTGTTCATTACCTCAGCCATGCGCAGTGCCTGGGCATCCTAGGGGTCAGGAAGTATGGCTGTTGGAGCTTCCAGGACATAGAGGATGGGTTCATTCAAAAACAAACCCATAGCATATAATGTTGTTCTTCATCATCCACGGAGGCCGCAGGACCTCTGTGGACATCAACGTTAGTAGACGTTGCAAGCCCCTTATATAGAATTGCACGGTGTTTGCGTAGAGGTTATATATCTCCACATTGTCTATAGTACCTGATGCAATGTAAATGCTATGTAAATAACTGATACACTATATTGCTTAGAGATCAACAACAAAGGGAAAAGTCTCCATCCCTGTTTATTACAGACGCTCATTTATTATCCAACTCACAGATGGAGGACCTGAACGTGTAGAGGGATGGCTGTGTTAACTTGAATGCTTTTCTGTTCAAGAACAGGCTTTAGCCTGGGGGCTATTATCCAACTCACAGATGGAGGACCTGAACGTGTAGAGGGATGGCTGTGTAGTTAACTTGAACGCTTTTCTGTTCAAGAACAGGCTTTAGCCTGGGGGGATGGAAGACACCCCTTCTAATATGATGGTCTTGACGTGTTTATAGGCATCCCACACCAAGTATCCCTAGTCTAGCCTCATAACTAAACAGGAAAAGATCTCTGTCACCCTTGTGTCAAATGCAGTGACCTCCAGATAGGTTTACTTTGCTGTGGAAGTCCTCATTCCCTGCAGGAGGCAGTTGGGGCTCCACCACCATGGGGCTGACTTTCTGAACAGAGAATTTAGACACCTGCTAGCTGAGTCCTCTCTTGAGGTCTTTAGTCGCTTGCTCACTCTCTCTTCCAGGAAGTGTCGGGAAAGTTGCAGAGTATGTCCTTCCTTCAAGGACCTTTCTCCCATTACGTCCGTCAACAGCATGGATTAAACATCTTTCTGTTTTTTCTGCTATGCAAATACTATTGCCCTTGGTGAGTTTAATGTCAGTTAGACTAAAAACTACATCAAAAACAAAGAAGGGGAAAGAGACACACAGTAGGGGCCAAGTACCGCTCCAAAGCACGACATTGGCCCAGTGGTTCTGACTGGAAGACCTCTCACCTGCCCCTGAAATATGCATACTTATGCCCTGCTCAGGATGGAGTGGGACTAATGTCCAAGGTCAAGAGAGTGACCACTGTGTAGGTAGACACCACGAGAAATGACTGAGGTAAAAGCAGGAAACCGTTGTTCAGAGTGCTCTGTGTTTGTGCTTCTGAGGAGGCATGTTTTCATTCCAGCACATCTGCTCCTGGAGCATGTTCCTGTGATGCATGCCTTCACATGTGTTACTCTATCTGCTCCCCACAATGACAGATAACTAACTCATCCATCAAGGGGTGTCAGATGATAGTTTTCAGAATGAGAACAGAATGGAGTCAACCTTATTAGACAAGTGGGGAGATTTCAGAATTGCCCCATGTCTGTTCACTGTGCAACTTTGGTAATTCTCAGAAGGGAGAGTGAGCTGAACACAGAGATGTGCGGAGGCTTCAAACTCTCTGCAGAGGTATCACAAACCCACATATACTAGGCGATTACAGGTTTTTAAGAATGGCCTTGACTAGTTGTGGTTTTTCCCTCCATGCTCTCGTTTTAGAATTTCATCCCACCAAATCTGAGAATAATTCTTGGCTCTATCAGAGAAAAATGCAATTCAAAGGGAGATCCTGTCTTAAAAAGACCAAAAAAAAAAAGAAGTTTAATTGATGGGGTCGGTTAGTGCAAACCTATAATCACAGGATCAGGAGACTGAGACAAGAGGATGGTAAATTTCAAGCCATCCTGAGCTACATAGCAAGACTATCTCAAAAAAAGGCTCTGTGTGTGTGTGTGTGTGTGTGTGTGTGTGTGTGTGTGTGTTGAATTTGCCTAGGGATCCCCAGCTCATAGTCAGAGGGAACTTTTCATAAATGCACTTTCTCATTACCCTGCTTTGGCTAAAGCCAGCCCCCAAATAAAGAAGAGAGGATGACTGATACCCCAGTGAGCACAGTGTGACAGCCTGGAACAAATCCCCTCAACGCAGACAGTGGGGAATGGAGCATGCACCCGGGCTCCTAGCCCTTTCCTTGTTGCTGATGGGTGCTGTAAAGCACAGTCTTCCACTCCCACGTGGATTTGGAAAGCCCCGCCTCACGTGGAACTGTCTTTTGTAATTACGGATGCCTTGAAACACCAGAGAAGTGCTTCTAAACGGCCTCAGCATCCTTTCCCTCACAGGACGTGGGAACCACCGTTAGCTACCGAGTCCATGACGTCTGCGGGGATGCGGTTGGGAACTGGACGTAGCAATCAGACAGCACCTGATACCGGGTCTCTGAGACTCTGTGAGCTTGAAAGCTTGCCGGGACCTGAAAGCTCATCACAAGGGACTGAGGGTGGCCTGGGGACTGACTTCTCCAAGCATCAGATTCAGTCTTTACCTCCAAGTTCTTCCCTCCTGAGCGCTTCACCCATCTCGCCGTCCCGCAGCGCTGTGGCCCCATCACTGCACAAACTCCAGGCAGGAATGGCCATTGTTTCAGCTGCCTGGGATCTTTTCTTTATATTAAGTTTGCCTGGAAAATACTGTCTAGTTTTTTAGTCTTTTATAGTTACTGAGTTTAAAAACTGTAAAGACTACAGAAAGATGACTGTTTGAAGTCAATCAAACACAGTTCTATACAGCAGGTGTATTAGCTCTGAATTTTCACAATTGAGGTTGTTCTCAGCACATTTTATAGATAGTGGAATTGTAAGGAAGAGTAACTAATTTGTGTGAGGACTATTCACCTCATAAGAGAGGTGCTTAGATTCACACCTAGCTTTATCTGAATCCACAATAGTACCAAAGCGCTTTCTGTTAGACCAGGCAACATAAACTAGTAAAATGATGATGAATACCAGCATTTATTGGTCACTTACTGTATGCTAGGCATTCATATTAGCATACAGAATCTTCAATAAGTGTAAAGGTGCAGGATGCTATTCAAATCCATTTTACAGGAAACTACAAAGTTGTACAGCAAACAACCCTTGTACTTATGAAAGATGAACCAATGGCATAAACGGCTTCTTCTTCTAAATCAAGAACAAAACAGGGCTGGTGTAGCTCAGTGGCAGAACACATGCCCAGCATGCACCAAGCCCTGGGCTCCGCCCCCAGTTATACCCCACCTAAAGTGTTTTTTAAATCATTCTTTCCTTTATTTCTTTTGCTCTACCGAAACTCCCAGGCTTCTTTTGTTATTTTGAAGAATTTAATTCAGAATGTATTTCAATAAATGCATACCAGTGCACCCAAGGATTCCTAAGAAGCAGGGGTCATCAGAAAGACCTAGAAGCAATAAGGTAGCTAGACTTTCCCGCTGAAACTCTGGTGAGATTTGTGAAGGGGGAGGAAGAAGGTACAAAGGCAGAGGGGGGGCCAGTCTGGCTTCAGCTCTGAGGAGAAGGTGGGGCCCCACTGCACTCTCATGTCTGTCATTCCTGCCTCCAGGGAGCACATCACCCCTTTCTCCCTCAAGACACAGTGCCTTTGCAGTTCAGAGACTCTCCCTATATAGACAAAATGAAATGGAAACTCTACTGTTTCTCTTGATTCAGAGTGCATAAAAAAATATATAATTTAAGCCGGGCGTGGTGGCGCACACCTTTAATCCCAACACTCAGGAGGCAGAGGCAG